CTGGTTGGGCACCCACTCAGGCTTCTGCCCCGCAGCTGTCCTGGGCCTGAGGCCTCCGCCCTCTGTACACTGACAGGGAGGGGCTGGCAGTGACCTTGGAGGCCCATCTGAGGCACTGCCACCATGGGGGTGTGAACAGTTCACAACACCTGGCCCTTGCTGTTGGTGGGAATGACAGCGCCACCTCTACAACCTCAGGAGAGGGCTCGAACGGGAGAGGGAGAGAACTTTTAATGGCAGCTGGAAGCAAGTGTCAGTGCATGGTCTTGGGTGCGAGCTTGGGCTGGGGGAGTACTGAGGGAGGCCGCCCTGTAGACAGGACAGAGCACCCAGTCCCGCCTCCACCTGTTGGTCTTTCCTCTGAGTAAGGTGGAGTAAGGGTTATCGGGGTCACGGAACTGAAAAGTTTGATCCCTGGAACCAAGTCTGGGGCAGAGGAGCAGTTAGGTCCAGTGCTGTTTGTGACTGGAGCACGCCCAAGATTGGGACTCCAGCCCTCCAAGGGGCAGGGGAGGGGTCAGCAGAGGGGCTGGGCGCCTTGGCCCTGACACCCCATTTTCCCCTGCAGACGTGTGGTCGGCAGGTTGCGTCCTGGCCGAGCTGCTCTTGGGCCAGCCCATCTTCCCCGGGGACAGCGGGGTCGACCAGCTGGTGGAGATCATCAAGGTGAGGGCACGGCAGATCGGGGGTGGGGTGGGCACTGAGGGCTCCCCGCTGACACCTCTTTCTCACAGGTGCTGGGAACGCCAACCCGGGAGCAGATCCGAGAAATGAACCCCAACTACACGGAATTCAAGTTCCCCCAGATTAAAGCTCACCCCTGGTCGAAGGTGGGACTGGCCGCACGGCTCGGGCAGCTGGGCACAGTGGCACCAGGGCATTGTGGAGGGGCTCAGCTTGCAGTTTATGGAATTTGTTTCCCACTCACTGTCCCCCTCACCTGTGACTTCCTGTTTGGAGTGGGGTTGGGGAGCTCTTGGTGTACTTTGGAAACTGGATTTGTAGGAAGCAGGGTGTGCTGCAGCCATGAGGGAAGCCTCTCAACCTTGTGGCCCCCACTGCCCTCAGGTGTTCAAGTCCCGGACGCCGCCCGAGGCCATCGCGCTCTGCTCCAGCCTGCTGGAGTACACACCGTCTTCCAGGCTCTCCCCACTGGAAGCCTGTGCCCACAGCTTCTTCGATGAACTGCGAAGTCCTGGAACCCAGCTCCCCAACAACCGCCCTCTCCCCCCACTCTTCAATTTCAGTCCTGGTGGTGAGGACCCTGCTTTGGGAGCTGGGAAGTGGGACTTGGGTCGGGGAGAGGAGTGGGGAGCTTTGGGAAGACCAGGAAGTCAAGAGCTTGGGAGATGGGGCCCCTGCCAGGTTCAGGGATGCCCGAGTGGCTTCATGGACATGTCCTTGTCAGCCTGTACCAGGTGCACAGTGGTTTTTCACTGAGTGGCCAGGGCAATTGTTCACTCTCAAGCAGCCTTGCCAACATCTGGGGCCCATATGGTGTTGCTTTTTCCTTGCACTGGGACTGCAGGCACCTTGCCTTACACCCTTACCAGCTATGTCCCTTCTTGTCCCTAGAACTTGCCATCCAGCCATCTCTCAATGCCATTCTCGTCCCTCCTCACTTGAGGACCCAGGGGAGTACTACTACCCTCACCTCATCTTCACAAGGTACGTCAAAGCCATCTGCTGTGGTTAGAACCACATTTTCAGGGGTGTAGCCCTGAGTCCCTGCAGGTGTGGGAAAGTGGGAGGGCACAGGAAGGGCCTGCAGACCTGGGAGTGGCCCCTGAATTGGGCCTCATGTGTGACTAAACACATCTGAAGAGGGTGCACACAGAGCAGGGCTAAGGCACATGCCTTGCATGCTGCCGACCTTGGTTCAGTTCAAGGCACTACATGATCCCTGGAGCGTCCCCAGCACTGCTGGTGTTTAGGAATAGCACTGCAAGGCCTGAGCAGCTCCCTTTGTTTTACCTGAGCATTGGCCCGGTGGCCGCGTTGGCCGCGAAATCCTGGGAGGGGCTTCTGGTCCCTCCAGAACAAATGTTGGTCAGAAAAGCCAAGGATCTTGTTGGGCCCACACTGCCAGTTGGTTTGTTGCCTGAATGAAAGGGGCCTTTGCGGGTAAAAATGCTAATTTTTCTTGGGCTGGAGAGATAGTACAGTGGGTAGGGCACTTGCCTTGTGCGCTGCTGACCTGGATTCCATCCTTGGTATCCCACGTGCTCCCCTGAGCATGACCAGGAATGATTTCTGAGTGCAGAGCCAGGAGTAACCCCTGAGCACTGCTGGGTGTGGCTCAACCCCCCCCACCCACAAAAGAAACGGGGTTGGGTGGGAGCTGATTTCCTGTTTCTCTATGGTATGTCTGGAAATCAGGACTGTACTAGGCCTTCCCTTTCCTTGGCAGTGCTGGGGTTCCATCACCCCTCTTGGGTGGCCCCTTTTGGGTGCAGACAGTATGTGATGCACCTGGTTCTTCGCATTTTGGGGTCTGTACCCCACCTCATCCCTGACTTTAGTGACATCCTCCAATTCTGCTCTTGGGGGAAGGGGGGCGTCTTAAAGACCAGGCTGACCCCTATCCCTTCTTCTCATTCTAGCTTTAAGTGAGACTTCGCCCAGCTCCGACTGGCAGTCGCCGGATTCCACAGCATCCCTCTCTAACTCCTCCTGAGGGCCCTACCAGCCACCCTTCCATCCGGGAGCCCCCAGTGGGGCTGGGAAGGGGGGCCATAGCCCATCAAGCTCCTGCCCTTGGCTGGGCCCCTAGACTAGAGGGCAGAGGTAAATGAGTCCCTGTCCCCACCTCCAGTCCCCCCTCCCCAGCCTCACCCCTGGGTGGGCTTTTAAAGAGGATTTTAACTGGTTATGGGGAGGGAAGTGAAGGAAGGAAGACAGGGGTGGGGGGACCGAGGATCTCCTTCCCCTGGCCCCTTGCCTCCCCCCAGGTCTCCACCTCCTCCTCCCCTCCCCTTCCCAACCCTCCCTTCTCCTGTCCCATGTAAATAGAACCAGACCAGCCCCTCTTGTCTTCCCTTTCCCGGCCCCGGGTGTAAATAGATTGTTATAATTTTTTTCTTAAAGAAAACGTCCATTCGCACCTCCAGCCTTTCCCCATCCTACAGCTCTGCCCCCTTCTCCTGTCCTCTGCCCTTAGGGTCTCCTCTCTTCTCTCCCCACCCGGGAGGGCCGGGGGCGTGGGGGAAACTCCTGATGTCTTAGTTTCCACAGTAAGGTTTGCCTGTGTACAGACCTCCGTTCAATAAATTATTGGCATGAAAACCTGCTTCCCGGCTGGCTGCCTGTGTCTGTCGCACAGGGAGGGGACACCCCCTTGAGGGGGCTGGAGGCTCCTGGGTACTGGCTTGCTGTAGTGGAGTTAGCTCCATGAACCTGACATAAAGCAGCCACTGGCCTCCAGAGGGGTAGGCTCTGGCCTCCAGGGGCTGGGGAGCAGTGGCCACATCCACCACGTCAACATGAGCTGCCTGCTGCTTCAGGGGCCCAGGGACCTCCCCTGGACTGGAACCTTAGGTCCAAACTTCCATCTGGACAGATTCTTAGGTAGAGACAGGGGTGACCCGAGTCTTGGCAGACCCTCAAACCTGAAGTCCATGAATTCAGCCAGAGATTCACCTGGCCCATCTCTTGGTTGCAGAAGGTTAGTGCCCAGAGCTTGGCCTAACTGCAGATACGCGGGGCTGGGCAGAGGGACATGCCTTCATGTGGCATCTGCAGGCATAACGCTCAGATGTGCATGAAGGTCTGGGAGTGAGGAGCAGTCCTTGGGCTCTGTGGTACCCTTCGTCCCCACTGCTTCCATCTGGGCAGCCCTAAGCCAGGCTCCCCCCTCAGCCCACCTCCCAGCTCTGCTCAACCTCCTCCAGAGATGGTGTGGTCTGCTGCAGGGCCTTTTGCTTCTCGGAATAAATGTAGGATTTCTTCCTGTTGCCCATACCTCCAACCTTTCCAAGGCCTGCCTGTCCCCACATGCTATGACCCCACTCACGCCCTGCAGTCACAATCACTTACTGGGTTTCCACACCCTGGGAGTTGTGTGGCCTCTGCTAGCTCCCTGGAAGAGCTGTTCATTTCCTTTGGATCACAGTGTGATCTCACAAGCCCAAGTGGAGCATAATCCCTGCACTGGATGCCAGGCAAGTCTCCAAGTGAATAAAAACTCGTTCTTCCCTTAATGAGTCTGCCTGGATCATCCTCCTTACCACTCACTGACTGCTGCTGCTTTAGCAGTCAGTGTACTGGACTCAGACTGATAGTATAGTGAGTAGAATGCTTGGTTTAACCCAAGTTCGATTCCTGATATCCTATCTGGTCTGTGGAGCCCCAGCAGAAGTAATTCCTGAGCTCAGAGCCAGGAGTAAGGCCTGAGCACCATTGCATATGGACCCCAGATACATCTTCTCTGGAGCCTCTGACTTCCCACCACAGGTGGCCTGTGGTGGCTTCCTGCTCTCCTCATACCCTTGAGGAATTGGCTCTGCTTCTGGGGCTCTTGGGGCCTAGCACCCCCCTGGCATGAGAGGAAGGTCTCAGGGAAGGAGGCTGAGGGATCTAGGATATCTATTCATCGCCAGGTGTGCCCCCAAAACAAGAAAAAAAAGGGGAGGTACAAAAATTTCCATCAGTGGGCAAAGCCTACTTCTAGATGCCCAGAGCACAGGGAAGGGTAGGGGCAGGAGGGTAAGATGAAAAGGTGCCGGTAATGGTGCCCAGCACCAACCTGGCACTTGCTCGGGGCTCAGAAAATGGCTGACCTTGCAGAACCCAGAGGTGCTGAGCACAGATCATAGAACAGGATGACCTGAAACGGACCATGTGACACCCCAGAGCCACAGGTTCCCATCAGTTTCCCATCAGGGACTGGGGAAACCTCTGGGACAGAGCACATGCCAGGGCCAGAACCTGTTATGCAGTGAGCACTACAGTGGGTTGTCGGGGTAGTTAGCCTTCTCTCCAGAGGTACCCACACTTGCAGCTGCAACCAAACGCTTTTATTGCTGCTCTCCTGCTCTCTGGCTCACTCGAAGGCTGTGTCCAACTGCAGCAGCCCGCCCGCCTCGCTGGCCCCCAGCGCTGCCTGGCACAGCTGTAGCGTGTCCTCTAGTGCCAGCGGCTGTGAGGTCTCGATGATGGCAATGGTCTCCCCAAGCTCTGTGCACATGATTGTCTGCTGGGGCTCGGGGGGTGGGGGCGGTGCAGGGGGTGGGGAGCGGGGGTGCGGAGGGATTGGCAGAGTCCGGGTGCGAGAGTGGACACGCTGGTGCAGCCGCAGGCCGGCCAGGGCACGGAACCAGCGGCCGCAGGTACTGCAGTAGTAGGGACTCTTGTTGTAGAGGCCAGCGATGGGCAGGCGGGGCGCACGGGCGAAGGCCACAGGCCGCAGGTGCAGCCGGCGGTGCTGCTGCAGGTTGGAGCTCTGGGTGAAGCGCTTGCCGCAGTCCAGGCACTGGTAGGGCCGCACGCCCGTGTGCGTCAGCTGGTGGCGGCTGAGGTTGGCCAGAGAGGCGAAGGTCTTGCCGCATGAGTGGCACTGGAAGGGCCGCTCGCCCGTGTGCGTGCGCAGGTGGTTGTGCACGTGCACCAGCTTCTTAAAGCCCCGACCGCAGATGCCGCAGCGGTGCCGCCGCTCAGGGGGCCCGTGGACTGAGCGCCGGTGTCGGGAGAGCCGGGAGGCTGAGGCAAAGGACTTGGAGCACTGAGGGCAGGGCAGCTGCACAGGTGGGGCTGGGACTGGAGGTGGGGGTGGGGGTGCAGGCTCAGGGGGTGCTGGGGAGCCTGCCGTGGTGGTGGGGGGTACTCCACTCTTGCCAGAGTGAGTACGCCGGTGGTAGAGGAACTTGGTCATGTTGCTGAAGGTTTTGCCACAGCGGCAGCGGTGCAGCGGGTTGGCGGTGTGTGCCCGCCGATGCGCCACTAGCGTGAGCTCAGTACCAAATCCGCGGCCGCAGTCCACACACAGGTACCGGGCCTCGCCACGGTGCAGCCGCACGTGCTGCTCCAGGGAAGCGGCTTTCTTGAACACCTTGGAGCAGGCGGGGCACTCATGTGTGCCCCCCACGTGGGCCCGCCCGTGGGCCAACAGCCGGTTGGCAGAGCTGAAGCTACGCTGGCACTGGCCGCAGTGAAAGGGGTGGGTGGCCGTGGCGGGGCCCCTAGATGCCCGCCGGTGTCGCCGGCGTACCCCACTGGAGGTCCTGTGTTGGAGACAATCCCCACAGCCCGGGGCCTGGCCTGCAGTGGCCTTGTTCCCTCCTAAAGCATCATCGCCTACCTCCGTGGCTGCCTCCTCATCCCCTGTCTCTTCCTCCTCCTCATCTTCCTCCTCTTCCTCCAGCCCATTGCGCTCTTCTTTCTCTAGGGAGTCAAAGTGGGTGCCTTGGTGTTCTAGAAACTCCTCCGGGGTGGCACACAGGGCTGAACACTCAGGACATTCATAGGGCTCCATCTTTAGTTCAGGAGGTGCAGGGGGTGTTGGCGGTGGCAGGGGAAGGGGCCCTGGAGGCTCTGCCACCGGCACTGCCGGCAGATGCTGGGTTTGGCGATGGGCCATCCACAGTTCTGGAGAGGGGAACAGCTCCTGGCAGTCCCCGCACTGGTACTGGATCTGGCTGGTGGACTCCCGAAGGTGGGCATCCTGGTGAGCTAGCAGCTCAGTGGGGGAGAGGATGAGCTGGCTGCACTCACAGCATTGGAAAGGCCCATCCTCAAGGCTGCCAGGCTCTAGACTGGCCTCGTGTGTGGCCAGCGGAGCTGTGTCCAGTGTGGCAGGCACGTGCTGCTCCTGGTGGGAGAGGACATCCTCCAGTGTGTTGTAGAGGCTCCCGCACTCAGAGCACATGAACTGGTGGTGCTGGAAGAAGAGGGAGGAGGCCAGGGCCTCCCCAGGGGTCATTTCAGTCACCCCTGCGGACATCTCCATTATCTCTCCAAGGGGCAGGGTAGACACCTCCAGGGCTGCTGGGGACATCTGTGTGGGAATCTCGGTGCCCTCAGTTGCCACTTCAGCCATCATAGGGAGGGTGGCAGAGCCTGGGGAAAGAGAAAAGGTCTGGTGAGACAGCAGGAGCCCGAGGGGTATCCCTTGTCCCTCTTGCCTGCTGTCAGCAGGTCTGAAGTCAGTGCTCCCGCTGCAGTCTTCAATGAGTTGACATAGGCCAGACAGAGGCCTGTAGGAGTCAGCACCCTTCGGCCGGCCTCAAGGCTGCCACGGTTCCCCAGAGGGGGCAGGTCTGACCCCAATCCTCCCCCTCCAACACTTTCTTCCTACGCAAACACAGAGATACAGCAAAGTGTTCAAGAACCACCTGCCCTGGGCTCTGCAAGTCCCACCACTCACTTCCTCTCTCTGGAACCGTTTTTCACCTCTGAATTAGGAGCAGAAGCAATATCTGCAGCAGAGATACCTGGTCCTTGATCAAGGTTAGAGAGCCCAGGGGTTTGAAGTTTTCTAGCAAAGGCACTGTTGGACCGTAAGTCATGGACACCGCCTTCTGTTCTGTGCCATCCCCCACTTTAAAAAAAAAAAAAATAGAGGCTTCTCTCCTGGTCTAGAAACCATGTCCGCAGCATTTTCTGTCCTAGAGCCTTTCCTAACGCCTCTTCTTAAGAGGATGGCCACACGCCCCTTGGGGCACCTGTGCCATCTCCATCACAGCAAAAAGCAAAGGGTGGGACAGGGAACTGAATGTTGGGCCTTCACAGTATTGCCCCCAATTATTAGTGTTGGGGCTCAATTGGACCCAGCTCTCTTCATAAAGCAGGGGCTCCACATTTCTGGAAGCTAAGTACAGGTCTGTATCCCCAGTGTTAAGATGCCAGCAAGCAGCTGCGGTCCTATACAAACTCCCCCTCTCCTCCTCCACCACCACTCCCAACAGCATGCAGTTCCTAGGAACTGCAGTGACACTCCCTCCAGGAAGTCTGGCCCTGAGTGTCACTGTTCCTGGGCGCTTTCAACTTCTCCCACCAGATGGACTCTGCAGTTAAAGACACTTCTCCCAAATAACACCGCCCAGGGCCCTGCTGTCAGCCGGTGCTCAAGAAAACAGAGCAAATGATTCATCCAAAAAGTCCTGGGTCTTCACTGCCCTTAAACACCGACTTCAAGCCTATTTTTGAGTGGCAAGTTTTTATTCCTTGAAAAATCATCACGTAAAGGATCTTTCTGGAGAGACTCAACACAGATTGGCAGGGCTCAACCCTTTCTCCAGGGGTGTGTGTGTGTGTGTGTGTGTGTGTGTGTGTGTGTGATATCTTTACCGTGTGTGTGTGTGTGTGTGTGTGGTATCTTTACCATCTCGTGTGTGTGTGTGTGTGTGTGGTATCTTTACCATCTCACTCCGGACACCTCCCCGCTAGGGTGAGGTCCTGCGTCTGATGCAAGGCTCACAGCAGGGTCAGAAATGATGTTCAGATGTTCACACCACCTCGGGAAAGTGGTCCGGGAGAGCTGACTTCTCCGTCTGCGTTCCCAATCTTGGACTGTGTGAACTAGTCGGAGGTGAGTGCGGGGCTCTACATAAAGTAGATTAAGTCCTTTCGGAAGGAACCCACCTGAGGCCTGTTAGTTCAACTTCCCGGCTACACATCCCTTCTCTCAGGTTCCTCTTAAGTCTGCAGCCTGAGAGCTCACTGCGAGGCGGGCAGCGGGGCAGCGAGCTCCAGAGAGACGGTCGTGCGCAGCGCCGGAGTTCGTTCAATCCGTGCTCCCGGGCACGGGACGGAGGAGCGCTCCCCTTCCGCTCTGGCCCGAGCGCGGGCCCCAAAGCTCCTCGACCCCGGGGAGTTCCTCCCTTTCTTTCTCCCTCTGCCCTCTCGGTACGCCCAGCGCTCTCTTCCCCCGCCCGCCCCGCGGCGCCCTCACCCGTCTCTCTCACCTCTCACAGCCCCCGCCGCTCTTGACACAGACCCTCTGCTCCAGGCGTGTGGGACCCCTCACTATCCTCACCTCCCATTGGGCGGCGCCCTTCAGCGAGCTGGCCAATGGGAACCGGCAGCGAAGGGCACGCGCCCTTGCGCGTGCGCACTGGCAGCCAGGCGGGGCGCGGGGCGTTTCTCCACGCAAGCAACCGTGCCCCGTGGGCGGGGCTCCGAGAGGCGCCTGCGCACTTCTCCCAGGCCGCTCCAAGCTTCTCCCGTTGGAGAAAAGTGGGTGTCGCTGGGAAACAAGGACCTGTGGAGTGGGGCGGCGGGAGACCTTGACCGAGATCTTATTTCATAGCTGAAGAGACGACGCGTCTTCAGGAACACAGCTTGGGATACTTACTCATCTCTGAAGCTCACTTTTATTTTATTGGCGGGTGGGGAGTGTTGGGTCTCACCCGACCGTGTTCAGGGCTTCTTCCTGGCTCTGTGCTCAGAGCCAGGCGGGGCCTGGGATCGAACCCTTCAAGCGCCTTACCTGTCGCCCTCTCTCATGGGCCTCGGGGCCTCACTTTTACTCCTGTATGAAATGGATTTTGGATCTCTCAACTCTTCAAAGGCTGCGAGTGGCTGGGTTCAAACACGTACAAATTCAATATTCGAGAGCCTCATACCACGTAGTGCCCACTGTAACTCATTTAACAAGGACATAGTTCTAGTTTGTCAACTTGCTTTCTCTCTCCTGCTTTTCTATTGACTTAGTGATATTCATTTACTGGGTACTCAACAGTGTTTCTCCCCCCGGCACCAGGTTTCAGTCTGATAGCTGGTTGCTAAATTGCTTCGGCTCGTGACTCAGACAGCCGCGTCCCTGTTGTCCCACGTCCTGACCTGCTGAAACTATTCATCAGATGATTGTCATCTGTTTCACGGGTGGGGAAACAGGCCTAGAAAGAGGAAGAGACTCTTCTGAGGCTACTGCTGCACTAACATTGCTGCTGAACAAGTTCCAAGCAGGACCCTGGCCTCTCCCTACCCCAGGGATATATAAATCCGGGGGCGAGAACCGGTCTGGGAAGGAGACTTGTATCTGGACACGTGCAGATTCATTTAAGTAGGGGGCGGAGGCGGTGCGGACTACACCCAAGTCTTGCAAGGAAGGACTCCGGGAAACCACAGCCTCAAATATTCTTTTTTTGTTGTTGCTTTATTTTTTGTTTTTGGGCCACACCTGACAATGCTCAGGCTTACTCTGGCTCTGCACTCACTAGTTACTCATGGCGATGTTCAGGGTACCATAAGGGATGCCACAGATACAACCCAGGTTGGCCTTGTGTAAAACAAGCACCTTATATGCTATATAGTATCTCTCTCGCCCTCAAAATTCTTTTAATAGAGAATCTACCACTTTCAACACACTGAAATTCTCTGCTGCAGGTTCTAAGTGTGCTACTGTGGAGGACAGGGTAGTGTCAACTGAAATGGCCTCTGAACAAATTGAATGCTAGGAGAAGCGCAGTTGAGATGAAAGAGCCTATTCCAATTAGGAAGGAGGTAGCAGTTCCCAACGTAGGTGAGGGTTCTTTGAGGTGAGGCAGTAAGTTGGGGCAGGGGACGGTCTGGATCATTGAGATGGTGCGGCTGGGATAGTTTCCTGGATGCCATTAAAGGGAAGGGGTAGGGGAAGAGCGAGGCTATAGTGGGTAAAGTGCTTTGTACACAGCGTAGGTTCCAGTTCAATCCCACGAGCACAGCCGAGTGTGGCTCAAAATGCAATAAAAAATAAAAGGAAGTGGGAGTTTAACGGAGTCACGATCATACCGGGTGCTAGTTGGAGCCATTGGTATGGGCAGCCAAAGAGTATTGTGAGCATCTAAGTTGTGACAAGGAGGGTGCTGTAACTTATAAAATGAATAGTCCCAACAGGCCGTGACATTGGGCAACAAGGACGCGGTCGCACTTGCGTCACGGACAGGAAGCGGTAACCCGGCAGCGGAGGACCAGTTCCAGCCCAGACGCTGCGTCGCACAAGTTCTGCGCAGGCGCCGCACGGCCCGGCGAGACGCTACGGTTGGGGGCGGTCCCGGGAGGCCCAGAGGGGCGGGGCTTAGAGGCCGCTTCTGCGCGTGCGCGTGAGGGGCGTGGCGGTCGCACCTGCGCGAGTTGGGGGAAGGAGGAGGGGCGAGGTGACGCAGGCGTAATAATAGAGAAGGTGCCAGAAGATCCAAAACAAGTGGCTGCGGCCGTCGCCCAGGAGTCCTCGGACGCCGGGATCCGGTAAGGCTCCAGGGCGGCCTAAAGGTGACCGGTAGAGGGTCGCTGGGACCGCTTGACTGCGGGGGACCAGGCGGTACCGCCCGTACAGCGCGAGGAGGTCGGGTTCGGACAGTACCACCTGTGTAGAGCGAAGGGCTGCTTTGATCTGTCCCACTTCTAGGGGGCAGAGGGTCACCCTCAGACGGTACCACTTGGGTGGAGCCGAGGGGCTGGTCGGACGGTACCACTGGACCGAGAGCCAAGGGGCACGTCGGTACGGTGCTGCCCGAGTCAAAGGGCAGTTGGCACGGTGCCCCAGGATGGGCCCTGGGCTTGTTCGGGCAGAATCACATAGTCGGGTCGGGAGACTGGTATGTTCGGAACAGATCACCTGAGGAGGAGCGTTTGGGCCGCCCGAGGGCCCGAGGGGTCGGAGGACTAGCGGGGTTTGGCGTCCCGGCTGGTTACTAGGGGATCTCGGGCGATACCATCCGGTTCCGGGGGCGGGGGGCGCGGAGGGCGCCGGTATGGGAGTGGGCGATTGGGGCGGGCCGGCGCGGGGGCGCCTCTCCGGCCGCGGGGAGGCCCGGGCGCCCGCGCCGCTGACCGCTGCCCCGGTCCTCGGCCGGGTGGGTTCCAGGTCCTGGTTCCGAGCTTGTTCCGCCCCCTCGCCTGGTCATGGCGCAGTCCGGGTCGACCCCGGCCCCGAGCTGGGAGGAGGACGAGTGCCTGGACTACTACGGGATGCTGTCGCTCCACCGTATGTTCGAGGTGGTGGGCGGGCAGCTGACCGAGTGTGAACTGGAGTTGCTGGCCTTCCTGTTGGACGAGGCTCCCGGTGCCGCCGGCGGCCTGGCTCGCGCCCGAAGCGGCCTGGAACTGCTGCTGGAGCTGGAGCGCCGCGGGCAGTGCGACGAGAGCAACCCGCGGCTGCTGGGGCAGCTCCTGCGCGTGCTGGCCCGCCACGATCTGCTGCCGCACCTGGCGCGCAAGCGGCGCCGGCCAGGTACGTGTGCTGGCTGGGGGACCGACTTCCGGTGGGGGAGAGGGCTTACTGGTACCCAGTTGGCCCCAATCTGTGTCCAGATCAACACAGTGCCCTAGACAGCCAGGGCCCTATCCTGCTTCCCTTGCCCCGCTTGGGAAATCATTAAGAAACGCCAGAGGGAGGAGGACTGACTTGAAGGTGTCCTGGTGAACTTTAGGATTCAGCCACAGGCATAACGATCGAGCAGCCGCTGTTCTTGGCAGGCAGAGAGCTAAGCCCCTCATGTGAACTGTCGCCTTCTGTCCTCCCGGTAATCCCAGGCCCCACTGTGGGGGGAGAACAGTGGCTTCAGAGCGGCTAAGCAGCTTGTCACATGTCAGCACTGAATGAATCCCCAGGGCTGGGCCCTGGGGATGCAGACATGATGAGACTGACACCCGTGTGTTCTGTGGAGCTTAGGCTGGCTGGGGAAACCCAAGAGTAAAGCAGCTAAACAGGGAATTTGATTTCTCGATAGGGTGCTAAAGAGTTGAAGTGATGGGCTAGAGAGCAAGCCGGAGTGGGGGTGCTTCAGAGTGAAGGGCTCACCATTCAGGACCTTCCTGACAAGGGGTCGCTTCTGAGACTGCATGGGCGCTATTGCAAGATCTTAGGAAAGAAAATTCCCGACTAGGCAAAGACAAACTCTCTAGCCTAGCGGCAGGATTGAATTTGGCCTCTTCAGAGGCTAGTGTGGCTGGAGCAGGGGGGACAGAAGCCAGGGCAGAGTTAGGTGAGAAGCCAGGTCCTAGCAGCTTGCAGAAAAACCAGCTAGGAAGTGTGGGAGCCAGGATTCAGACCCAGCTGGGTTCTCTCCACATCTGTGCTCGTAGCCCTCCTGTGGTCCTAAACAGGTGAGGGGCTGTGAGGGCTGTAGGTCCAGGAGCCAGGCAGGCATGGGCCGACTTTGGGCTGGCAGCTTTTAGCTTGGGGAGGTGTGGAGTCCCTTTAGCTTCTTCCACCCACCCAGGGCAAGCCCATGAGAATTAATTAACCAGAAGGGCTAGAAAGAACAGGCAGAAGTTTGGGGTACCTGGGTCTGGAGGAGAGCCTGTGGAGAGGCCTATTTTCTCCTTGGGACCTCAGGAGAGCTTAGACCCTTGGCTCATGGCAGCATGGTCAGGCTCCTGACCACAATCCTTGTTAACAGTGACCCTAATGGAGCTGCTGTACACTGGGTTAGGTGCCCTGGGGGACAAGGACCTTTAGCTGGGGAGGCTCCAGTCATGCTCTGGACTGGGAGCGGGTTTCTGGGCCCTCCAGCTCTGTGGAGCAGGTGTTCTTCTCTGTGTGGGGTGCAAAGCTCTGAACGTGTTTTTTTCCTCCTTCTCCACTCTCCAGTTTCACCTGAACGCTACAGCTACGGCACCTCCAGCTCTTCTTCAAAGAGGACTGAGGGCAGCTGTCGGCGCCGGCGCCAATCAGGCAGTCCTCTGGATGCTCAGCAGGGCCAGTGGGAGACAGGTGGGCTCCAGGGGCTGAGGGCCCTCTCCTCTTCCAGCTTGAGCCTGCACAATGGGGTGCCCAGGCACTCGGTCTACGTCTTGCCATGTGTTTATGCTTGCTACAGAAGCTTGTGTCCAGATGTAACACATCATGTTGTTTCTTGTGGTTTTCTGTTTCATCTCACTGGCATGGCCTTGTGGGCGGCACGCTTCACCGGATGGCCCTTGTGGCTGGGTTTCTGGTGGTGTTCCGATGGAATAGCTCTCGCAGACTCCCTTCCGATGCTCTGCTCTTCCCCATGCTCAAATCTCACACCTACATACAGTCCCCTACATACAGTCAGTCCTTTCTATACTGTCAGTTCCCTATGTACGGTCAGTTCCTTATATATGGTCAGTTCGGTACAGTCAGTCCCCTTATATCACTCACCTACAGACACCTTCATACAGTCAGTTCCCTGTTTGCAGTGAGCTCCCTCCTTAGTAATCTCCATGCCAGTCCTCTACATAGTCCGCCACACAGTCTCCTACAGTCAGTACACTCCATATAGTTGGTCACTTCCATATAGCCAGTCCCTTACATACAAGCACTCCCCTACAGTCACTCCCCACCATACAGTCCGTTACCTCCGTACAGTCGGTCACCTATATAGGGTCCTCTACATACAGTCAGTCCCCTACATACAGCCTGTTCCCTATGGCCAGCCCTTTACATACAGCCAGTCATTTGAACATTTTACCCCTTTTGCTATGACTATCTCAAGCAGTCCTGGGGTCTTGCCACCTCTGTTTGACATGACTTGCAGCCCCCAGACCACTTAGCTTTGTCTTGGCGGCCTGTGCCTGAGTGTGAGTCTTCATTTCTCCTGACGATCGTCCTCATGTCTTGGAAAGGAACCACAGGGCCAGCCTCTGTCTCCCTGCCTCCCTGCCAGGGCCTACTCTGTGCCCAGCTGCTGCTCATATCCCCCCCCGCCTCCACCTTTTTCAGTCCTCAGCGTGGCTGTGCCAGCCATGTGTCCCAGTGCCACTGTGTTGCTGGGCATTCTGCTGGGAGGAGGTTCTGATTAGTTTTTCCTGGGGTGCTTTGGCTTCTTTCTGTTTGAGGTGGGACTTGAGTTTGGAGAGGGCTGAGGTATTCATTGGTTCCCAGAATGCTCTGTGCTGACTCTCAGTCCTGGGAAGTGGCTCAGGGGGCTGGGAGTGAGGTTTTCCTCTTGATTCGCTTGATTAAGTGGAGTCTGCTGTAGCTATTTTTTGGTCAGGGGGAAACACACCTGTGGTCCTCGGGCTCACTCCTGGCTCTGGGATGCTGGAGATTGAACCACAGTTGCAGTTGGCCACATGCAAGGCAAGCACTGTCCCCACTATATGATCGCACTGTCCTGAGATATCAGTTGTAGGCATTATTGCCAAACTCAGTTCCTTCTGTTGTCACTTAGCGACCTTCTTGTTTTTTCTTTCCTTTTTCTACCTCTAATGGGAGCTTCTTTCTGGAGGAGCTTTCTGTTTTTTTTTTTTTTTGGGGGGGGGTCACACCCAGCAATGCTCAGGGACTACTACTGGCTCTGCATTCAGAAATTACTCTGGTGGTGCTTGGAGTAACATGTGGAATGCCGGGGATCAAAAATTCAGGTCGGCCACGTTTAAGGCAAAAATCCTACCCACTGTATTACCTACCGCTCTGGCCCCAAATGTGTATTTTTTTTCTTTTTTATCTTTTTGGGTCACACCTGGCAATGCTCAGGGGTTACTCCTGGCTCATGCACTCAGGAATTGCTCCTGGCGGTGCTCGGGGAACCATATGGGATACTGGGAATCGAACCTGTGTTGGCCATGTTGGCCGCGTGCAAGGCAAACGCCTTACCCACTGTGCTATCGCTCCAGCCCCGCAAATGTGTATTTTTGTTTCTTTGCTGTGTGGTGTCAGTTTGTATTCTTCTGAGCTTCCCACTGGCTAAATTACCCTGGGTCTCTTTGATATGTCTCTGCATTGTTACTACAGGGGTGCATCATGTTCATGTGCCTGGGCTCCTGTGTGCTTGCCCTGCTCCCTGCCCTGGCAGCAGCTGTTTGGGGGGAGCCTGTTTTGTTTTGTTTTGGGGACACACCCAGTGATGTTTAGAGTTTACTCCAGGCTCTGAACTTAATGCTCATTTCTGCCAGTGCTCAGGGGACCATAGATAGGGTGGTGGGATTGAATCCTGGTCAGTTGTATGCAGGACAAGTGACTGATCCCTTGTATCAGTATCTAGTCCCAGGGAGGCTGATTTCTTTCAGAAGCAAGGCTCTTCCCCGTCCAGTTGTTGGGATGCTGCATGGGTATAGTTCCTGGACTTTTTCAATGAACTAAGAATTATAGCTCTGTTCATTTTGCAGGAGCTGGAGTGATAGTACAGAGGGTAGGACATTTGCCTTGCACACAGCCAAACTGGGTTCAATTCCTGGCACTCTGTATGGTCCCTCAAGCCCACCAAGAGTGATCCCTGAGTGTAGGGCCAAGAGTAAGCCGTGAGTACCACTGGGTGTGTCCCCTCAAAACCAGAAAATGTTTATTTTTTGGGGGGCCAGAGTGATAGTAGAGCAGGTAGGTCTCTTGCCTTACACACAGCTGACCCTGGCACCCCACATGGACCCCAGCACCTCAGGAGTAATTCCTGAGTCAGGAGTAACTCATGAGCATTGCCAGGTGTAGTCAATCCCCCTCTCCCCCACAAAAAAAAAACCCCAAAATTTTAATTTAAAAAAGTTTATTTTGAGAAGCTGGAGGTGAGTCCCTGGGTTTGATCCCAGTTCCAAAAATAATTGGTAAAAAAACCCCAAAAGGTAAAGATTTTAAAAGTACATATTTGTATTTTTCAATTCAAAATGAAACATATAAGGACTTGTTTTCTCTACCATTAAAATCTTCATTCTTAATTGAGATAGGAACGTATCTGTTTCCTTTTAGGATAAAAATAAAGAGCACCAGGCCTCTGCTGGTCCTTTCTACGGAATGAAATGATTTATCTGTAGTTCTTCCTGTCCTCAGTGTACACCCTACTTGAGGATTTAGTTAGAATGTTTCTTTAAGTTACTTAAAATAACTTACCCCAATTGTTTTTGCCCAAAATTTTGTCCACAGTTAGATATATTTGTTTCTGTTCCTGTTTGATTTTATGACTTGTTTCTTTGTTTCTTTAATGTTTTGAAAGTTTAAGAAGAACTGCAAGCTTCAGAAGTCAAAGCTAGGACAAGATGGCTAGGATAGAGGTTGAGACACTGGGATCAGTTCCTGGCACCAAACTTAGGGTTGCACCCATTCCCCCCCACCAAATATGGGGAGACCCCCCCGCCTTTCCCAATAATGGGTCCTTCACCCTTCCTCACCTTTATATCCTATAAAACTAAAGAATATAAAGGAGTTTTCTTAGAGGCATTAATTACACTGTTGTTCTGCCCCCCCACCTCCAAAAAAGCTAATCATTCCTAAATGTTCCTTTGCACCCAGCAAAATAGCAAATACACATGTGTTGCGTCTCCTTTGCAGTTGTGTGGATATTGCTGTGGACGTTGATCTTGACCTGCTTTATTTCACTGAACAGTCTTACCTGACTAATTACTGGATTCTCTTTGTCTGACCTATATTGTTTTCCAATCTGCAGGTTATGGACTATAAAAGTGGGGAGATAATAAGGCGTAAACAATGACTGTGGTTGTAAAACACACAGTGTCCCAGAGACTGTTGTCATGTCTGTCTCTGGGGACTGGGGTTTCTCTAGGGTCACTCTTGGCAGCGGGGCTGCAGCTGTGTACTGGGCTGTGTTCACCAGCCCTTACAGGGGCACCCCCTCCTGTGGACAGGCTTTGTGGGGCTCTGGCCTGAGACTAGACTCAGGGTCTTTCCTGGGGCTTTGCCTTGTTTATCTATCCTCTCTTTCCATTGGGGATGTGGGTCGGGTGGAGTGGGATGAGCCATACCCTGCAAAGCTCAGGGGTCGCTTCTGTCTCAGTGCTCAGGAGTCACTCCCAGATCTCTTGGGACCCACTGGTGCCAGGTCCAGGCCCCTGGGCATCTGTTTGGTGCTTCGTTTGTCATCCTGGTTCTCATGCACCCCATCTTTCTCCTCTCAGGCTCCCCACCAACGAAGCGACAGCGGCGGAGTCGGGGCCGGCCCAGTGGTGGTGCCAGGCGGCGGCGGCGAGGGAGCCCCGCTACCCCCCAGCAACAGCAGGAAACGAGCAGGCCAGCCTCCGAAGGCAAAGTGACCTGTGGTAGGTGTCTGGGGCCCTGGGAGAGCTTTATTGTGGTGACAGACTCAGCCCCAAGACCGCTCAGCCCTCCACTCAGCACAGTGCTGGCCTTACCCTTCCTCCTGCCATTTTGTTTATCTGTCTACTACACATAAGTGAAGGTCATGTTACCTCCTCCAGTAAGCCTTCCCTGACAACTTCCTGTTCCGAGTTGCATTTCATTATCTAGTAAACATTGCAGGGGTTACTTACTCAGCAGTTTTTCCTTCTGCAGTTTAGAATAATACAGAGTTAAAGCCAAGGATATCATGACAGCTGTCTGATTCACATCCTAGCACTGGTACTTAGCTGTGGTGTCTGACCCTGGGCAGGTGACTGATTGCCTCCGTGCCTCAGTTTCCACATTGTAAATTGAAACTAGAAATGGTGATTTCTGGCAGCATTGCTAGAAGAGAAAATGCTTTGACCCATAAAGTACACTTGAGCAGGCTCCCTCTCAGGGTTCCAGCTCTCGAACCTGCTAAGTGTGCTTGGGACAGGAACATTGGTGTGGGAGCTGCCCTTGGGGGCCATGATAGAGAGAAATGGCCTGAGGAGAGGATGTTGTGAGTGGTTGGTCTGCGTGGGTGTTTGATTTCATTTGGTCACGTGTTGTTCCAGTGGTTTACTGGGGAGTCAAGTGATCCAGTGTGTATGTGTGTGTGTTTGTGTGTGTATGTCTTTGTGTCTGTGGGGATTGAACCGGGGCTTTCTTTTTTGTAAGGCAGACATTTTATTTGTGAACCTCATTCCTGACTTCTGATACCTGTTTTATTATTTTGGAGAGAACTGGCAGTCTGATACTCATTTTTCTTTGGTGGCGGGCACTCTTAGTAGTGCTGTGGGATGTTCCCTGTTGTGGTACTCGCAGGATCATGGGTGCTGGGGATTAAACCTAGGTCCCCATATACACATTCTGCAGTTCACCTCTATGTTTAGTTTTTGGTGAAGGTTGCGGGGGGGGGGGGGGCGGGGGCTGCTTTTTAGGTCAAATTGGGCGATGCTAGGGGTTACTCCTCACCCTGCACTCAGGAATTATTCCTGTCAGTGCTCAGGTACTATATGGGATGCCAGGGATTGAACCCGGATTGTTAATGTGCAAAGCAAACTTCCTACCTGCTGTACTATCGCTCCAGTTCCTGCATTCACCTCTTGAATTGTCTCCTTACCCCATAAAAACTTTTGGTTTTGGGATCACACTCAAACGACTAAATGTAGAGCAGTGCTCTGGGTTGCTCCCTGCAGTCCTTGGGGTGCTATGCGGTGCTGAGGATTGAACCTGGGCCTTCAGCACACAGAGCATATACTCCAATACTACTTTGAGTCTCCCCCCTCCAGGCCTGCACTGGTAACTGATTTTACTTAATTTGGATTTTTGGGTAACATCTGGCTGTGTAAAGTCCGCCCTGCTCAGTACCAGGAGGCTGTTCTTGCCAGGTGCAGAAGATCACGTAGTGATGGCAAGGTCTGAAAGGTCTGAGCTCTGACCCAACCAGCTCGCTCACTCTCTTACCGAGTAACTACTTTTTTTTTTTTTGACCACACCCAGTTGTGTTAGGACTTACTCCTTCTCTGTGGTCATGGATCACTCTTGGTGATGCAGGGGATTTGTGGCACTGGGGATTGAACCTGGGTCAGCAGTATGCAGAACAAGTCCCTTACTATACTATCTTTCCACTCCCATAACTCTCTTATTACTATTTTTAGGAGGGCTTAGGTGTGCACCTGGCAGTGTTCCAGGGTCATTCCTGGCAGTGGAGCTGGGGATGAACCCTGGCCCTCCAGCGTACAGAGCAAGCCTTCCAACTTGCTGAGGATTCTGGAGCTCCCAGCAACAGTTTCTTTTTACTTTCCTTTTTTTTAAAAAAAATTTAATTTTACGTTTTTGCTCTTTTGGGGTCACACTCATCGATACTCAGGGGTTACTCTTGGCTTTGCACTCAGGAATTACTCCTGGCAGTGCTTGGGGGACCATATGGGAAGCTGGGGATTGAATGAGGTTGGTCACGTGCGAGGCAAATGCTTGTACTATTACTCTGGTGTCTTATTTTTTAAATTAATGTATCTTTTTTACTTAGTCACCATAAAAGTACAAATTTTTCTGACTTGGGTGAGAGGCATATAATGAATATTTCAACCCCTATCTCCTTAACAGTGTTCACTTAACCTCCACCACCCTGTCTACTTATCTCTACTACCTGGTAGTAGTTTTTAAAGGAACCCTGAACTGATCTCAAAAATCACCTGATGAGTTGTGATTTCAAAGTATGCCAAGGCCCTGGGCTCAAGTTCTTACTGTTGTGAGGCCCAGGTGACTGCTGGTGGGGTTGCAGGGGCTGAGGAAGCAGGAAGTCTGCACCTGCAGACAGTGAGAGGCTCTAGCAGTGGGGTGCATGCTCGGCGCTCACCTTCTGAATATTCCGCCTTTCCTTAGAGAGGAGCAGGCAAGGTGGACTCTCTCACACACCCACACTCTCAGGTACCACCTCCTCAGATTGAATGACACTGCTGAGAGCTGCACCCTGTCAGTTGTCGAGAATGGGGATTGCAGGTGGGAAGTTGGGAACGGGACGTCAGTTAGTTGCCAGAGGCCCTGTGCCTGGTGTGCTCGCTTGTTATCTGCTGAGCTTGCCTGTCCCCTGGAACCTGTCCTCTGTCTTTCTCAGTGCCCGAGTGACCCATGAGACTGGTGCTGCTATAGGGACAGATGTCAGAACCCCATGGGCTGTGGGGGCCCGTACCTGTGATTGTTCCCAGTGACCTGGCTGTCAGGATAGTCTGTGAGTCCCTGCCTGCTGATCAGGGAACCTGAGGAAGGCCTGCGTGCCCAGAGCCTTCCGGTCTCCTTCTGCAGGGCAGGGCCTGGCTGGGAGGTTGTTAAGCAAGTGTGGGTGTGACGTTAGGGGGCTGGAACAGGTCTGACTGCTGACTCACCAGGCCAGGTTGGGCTAGCTGGTTCTGAAAAAGGGAATGCCTCCCTACCCCGATTCCCAGGTGTGGAGGCCCTTCTACCTTCCAACCCATCTGGGGAGGTGTCACCTTGTAGCAGCAGTGGGGGGACTGAACCTTGCACAGGGGAATTGGGATGTGCCTTCCTATCTGAGACCATGAGCGGGTGGGGTGCTGGTCCTGGGAGGAGTCCTGGGCGGGCACACCCTCAGGGTCATGCCTGAGAGGGGTGCTACTCACAGGCCCGCCCTCCAGGTCCACAGACAGCTGTGGAGGAGATGAGGTGATAAACCCTGTGGGGAGGTGGAAACCAGCTGAGGGAAGGGAGGCCATGAGTCCAGTGGCAGGCCTAACCTCACCAGGAGGTTCTGGGTGGTTCGTGTGTGCCCCAGAGGCCTTGGGCTGCCCCATGGGTCATGGCTTCTGTTAGGCTGGGCTGCCAGAAACCAAGTCAGACTCCACTTGCAAGCGAGAAGAAGCTTTATTGAGAGGAAAATGATGCAGGACAGACGTTTGTAGAGCAAAGGTGCTGTGCTGAGGGGACTGGGTGAACTCTTCACTCTTAAGTTGCAAGAGGAGGGAGCCCCAGGTTTGCTTCAGCATGAACCCTAGCACATTGCCAGGAACGACCCCTAAGCACTGAGCCAGGAGAGGTCCCTGAGCACCATCATATATAGGCAAACAGTGTCAGGGTTGGGAGGGGTCTCAGCCTGGCACTGCACTCTCTGCTAGGATCACCAGGTATGGTCTTGGAGATCTCTAGCACTGTTGGTGCTGACAACAGAACTGTCAGGCTGCACAGCTGTGCCAAGCACTGCCATACAGGTATCCTAGGCCCTGAGCACTGTTGGGGAGCCCTGGGCCACAGCTCTAGAGCGCTGCTGTCTCCTGCCCTCACTTCTGCCCCAAGTTCACTCTACCCACCTACCACCTTACCCTCCAGTGCTCCCCAGACCTTGCTCCCTGAGCCCTCTCTATTTGGAACATTCTCCTAGTCGGCCTCACTCTGGCCACCTCTCTGAACCCCACTTTCCATCATCTTCTTGGCTCATGCTTTCCCTCACAGCTGATTGAGGAAGTTCCTCTCTTTCTCCCCACACTGGAAGCCATAAAGTGGGACCCCGCTGGCCACCACCTGTGGTGGCAGAAAGATGTGGGTAGCAGGTTTTCTGAGAAAGAGGAACAGAGCAGTGGTGAAACAGTTAAGCCCCTGAGAAAAAAAGAAACGAAACATTCCTGAAATTATTAAGCTCCAGCTAGGTATGAACATCTGGGCTGCTGGTGGTCGCCTGTGGGGATGGGGGGGTCCAGACTTCCTGCCAGGCCCCCCTTCACTAAGCCTGGCAGCTGGGCCCTCCCCCCGGGGACAGCCCAGGCCCATCTGATGCCCTCCCTGGGTATGCCCATCTCTCTGGCTCCACCTACTTGTAATTTGCATGTCTCTGCCAGTGTCATTTCCTGCAGAGGCTTTCTGGTCACTGCCACTGCAATTACAGGCACACACTGTCATTTTCCCTGGCCCTGGGGATGGCCTCTAATTAGGCCTTACACATCGGGCTGGCTGGTGGGTGGGCAGATTGGCGGAAGTGGAGGCAAGCAGGTCAGGTGGCTCCGAGCTTGGGCTCTGAGTCTGAAGCAGGGCCCCTCAGTGGGAATTCCAGCTCTACCACTTCCTAGCTAGGTGACTCAGGTTGGGAGCCTCAGTTTCCTCCCAGGAAAATGGGACAGTAGCTCAGGCCCCTAGTGTGGCCAGGGATGATCAGAGGCACATGCCGAGCAGTGTATGCCCATCCTAGGAAACAGTGTGGAGACTGCACATGAGACTAGGATAGGACCCACTGTGGGTCCCCCGGGTGCCACATGGACTGTGGACTGGTCTGCTGGAAGCTTTCCCCCACTGCCATGGTGTGATAGGAGACTGTGAGGCCCTGTGGGCTAGCTTGGGAGATCTCCCCAGTGGGTTACTGTTTCCCTACTGGCCCAGGTGGTTGGCTGTTCATGTCGTCGTGGGTATTTTGGCCACCCAGTGTCCGTCATCAGGGATAAACCCACACATCCTGTCTTCTTTCTTCCCCCTGTTGGTGGTGTTCTGGGAGGATGTGGGGCTTTGTGAGCTGGTCTTGTGCATGGGGGGCACAAGTGGTAGCCTGGTCATTCCTGAGGAAGAGGGCAGCTAAGAGCACTCGTCGTGGACTGCAGGGCAGGGAGGATGGGGCTGGGATAAAGAGAGCCATTGAGGCGTTGCTCAGTAGCCCAGGTGACAGGTCATGGGTTGGGCCCAGACCATGAGGTAGAGGCGGGTATTAAGATCAGTCCTGACTTCTGGTGCCTTTCGGTCCTGATTATTGGATCAAGACCTATATGAGCTTTGCCTCATTTAATTCTCATGATCCCACCATGTAGCAGGGACCCTCTTGTTTATGTTTTTCAGATGGGGAAACTGAGGCTCAGAAAGGTGAGGTCACATGTCCAAGGCCCCACAGCTAGAGAGTGGCAGAGCCTGGACTCACCTCAAGGTCTGTGGGATGCTGCCGCCTGTCTGTGTAGGTGCCATTGGTGGCCTTGGACGGGTGCTGCTCTTCCCGGCCTGCTCCTGGCCTCCGCTGATGGCACGCATGCTGCACTCTAGGGCCATGGGGTCCTGGGGCTAAGTGGCTCCTTATGCAGAGGGACCTGTGCAGCGTTTCTTGGGCCTTAAAGAGCGATGCAGAAAGAGCAAGATTGGCAGTTAGGGTGGGGGAAGGAGAAGGTGGAACTGCTGAGAAATCATGTAATGAGCTAGAAACCCCTCTTTGCCTCGGTCTGTAAAAGGTGAAGAGTGTCTGATCCCACCCTTCCTCTCTCAGAGCTCTGTGTCCTCATGGGCCACTTGTGGTCCCTGCCCAAAGGTTTATCTGTTTTCCTGGGGTAAAGCATCTGCCCTATCAGTGTGGAGATGGCTGTGTTCCTGGAAATCCCAGGAGGCCTTGCACGAGCACTGGCCTTTGCCCCTCCGAGCCCTCTTCACAGTCCTTTGCAGCGGGCAGCAGGGCCAGGCCACACAGCACATGCTGAAGGCTCCTGGCTTGGAATCGACTGCAGTGGCCTGAGGCTGCCAGGCACTGCCTGACTGTGACCTTGGCCACTCACTTCACACCTCTTTGCTTATTTCCTCATCTTTATGTTTGGGGCTGGGGCAGTGACAGCAAGGCCTGTTCCAAGAAGGAGCAAGTCCAGTATCCAGTCCAGCGGTGCAGCAGTCCTGGCAGGTGTGGGTGTGGGGAGACTATGCTGGTTTCCTGGTGGTGGTCAGTCAGCCCATGGGCTGGGGTGATGGCGGATGGACACCAGCCTAGTTCCTGCCTTCTGGGCAGAGCAACTACCTCCTGTGGGCAGGACAACGACATTCAGCTCAGGCTGACTGAAGAGTGAGTGCTGCTGGTGGCCGATTACCGGGAGAAGGCAGCTCACTCTTGTCCTGTGTCCTGATGTGCTGTAGGCTTTGTGGTCTCAAAAACCAAGGCACTGCATGCTGCCTAATGCCAGCCTGGTGCTTGCTTGGGTGTGGCGGTGTCCATGTGTGAATCTCTGACTTTGGAGGGCAGCACTGGAGGCAGCATTCATTCTCATTGCCTGAGAATGAGCCCCTTGGTTCCTGCAGTGTTCCTTTATCAAATGTATGGAGCGCCTCCTGAGCCACTGGCTCTTCAGATGAGTGGATGCACAGAGAGCCAGTGTGATTTCCCCAGGCATTGCAAGGAAAGATCCCCGAGCACAGAGCAAGGAGCAATCCTGAGCTCTGTGGGTGTGGCCCCAAAGCAAATGAAATAAAAAACTGGCCTTCGGGGTGGAGATGCTGAGCCTGTGTGCAGTGGGGAGTGTCTGGATAGGGAGTGTGGGGTGGGGGCCATTTAAAGGGTGAGGTGGCATTTTAACAAGGACCTGGAGGAAGAGAGGGCGTGGCTCCCTTGGGGGTGCCAGGGTGTCCCCAGCTGAGGCAGAGGCTGGGCCAGGTGGGGCCTCCCTGGGGCCAGCCAGGAGGAGGCGTGGCGAAGGGGGCCACGCAGAGGGAGGAAATAGCGGCTAGGTCAGGAGGTAACAGGCCTGATTGAGCTGAGGGCACTTGGGTGTGGTCAGCAGGAGGAAAAGGAAGTGGAACCCGCAGGCCAGCGACTGGGACCTGTTGTGGGTGCCTGAGGTAGGGGGAGGCCAGTGTGACCCTTGTTCCCTCCAAGTTGCCTGTGAGAGTCGGCCCCTCACTGACCCTTGCCTCCTTTTCCACAGACATCCGACTCCGGGTTCGAGCAGAGTACTGTGAGCATGGGCCCGCCTTGGAGCAGGGTGTGGCGTCTCGGCGGCCTCAGGCACTGGCTCGGCAGCTGGACGTGTTTGGGCAGGCCACAGCTGTGCTGCGCTCCAGAGACCTGGGCTCTGTGGTGTGTGACATCAAGTTCTCTGAGCTCTCCTACCTGGACGCCTTCTGGGGTGACTACCTGAGCGGCGCCCTGCTGCAGGCCCTGCGGGGTGTGTTCCTGACTGAGGCCCTGCGTGAGGCCGTGGGCCGGGAGGCGGTTCGCCTGCTGGTCAGTGTGGACGAGGCTGACTATGAGGCTGGCCGGCGCCGCTTGCTGCTGATGGAGGAGGAGGGGGGCCGGCGCCCCAGTGAGGCCTCCTGATCCTGGCATGGCAGACTGAACCCCCTCCTAGCCTTGGGGCCACGTTCTCCCCTGGACGAGGAAGACCATCTCTGCCCTGAGGACCCACTCCAGCAGTGCTGAGGACTGTGCCTGCCAGCCGGGCCCCTCAGCTGCCACTCCCACAGGATGTGGGTGCTGAGGTCTAAACCACTTCCATCAGAGTGTCTGCCCCCACGCCCACCCCCAGGTGTGTTCCCTCAGCTTTAGGAGGCCAGGGGCTCAGACCTGCAGATCCCCAAAGGGAAGAGCCCCCTCCTCATTCACCAAAGCCCCCCACCCCAGTGTACACACACTGTCCCTGACCCCCCCCTCCCGTGTATACACACTGTTCCTGAACTCCACCCCCAGTGTTTCATACACTATACCAGACCCCCCAATGTGCACACACTGTCCCTGACTCCCCAAGTGTGCAAACACTGTACTTGATCCCCCTTCAGTGTGCACACACTGTACTTGACCCCCCAGTGTGCACACACTGTCCCTGAGTCCCTCCCAGGCCCAGTGTGCACACACTGTCCCTGATATCCCCGCCTCTCCCCTTGTGTACACATTGTCCCTGTATACCCCCTTCCCCACTCCTTTCTTCCTGGGCCGCCCCACACACTTCATTGGCCTAAGGGCTTCTCACTCAGGATCTCTTAATTTTACTGCCCCTAACCTGGGCTTCAGCTACACCCGGGGACACTGGAGCTGGGGTGCCCGCACACCTGCCCACACATCTCGACAGCCAGCCAGGCTTGCCCAGCGTCCACACCCAGACCTCTCTCTGCACCATCCAGCTTCCTAGAGCCAGTTGCAGGCCTCACTGAACCTGCATCCAGATACCTGACTCACTGCAGTATCAGACAGAGGCTTGCTCTGCCAGGGGCCAAGACCAGCCATCAAATGCTTTCTCAGAAAGGGGAGGCAAAGGCTTGTGGGAAAGGTGTTTTACAAATGATATCAATAAAACTGCCCTGAAAGGGGCATCCAGTGGGCATTAATGTTCTCGACTCACTTTCATTCTGATATTGGGGAGATTGAACCCTGGGTTTCACATGCAGGGCACATACTGTACTACTGAGCAGCATCCCAGACCCTAGGACTCTAAGCTGGAGCAAGAAGCTGAAGAGAGCTGCCATGGTGCCAGTCCCAGAATCAGACTGGAGGGAGGACCACTGCTCACCCGCCAGCTGCTGCTTCCACTTGCTCTCCTCTCTGGGCCTCAGTTTTCCCATCTGTCAAAAGAGCAGGTACTGACCTGGAAACATGCTCTCCTGGCCCCATGGACACACGCTTGTTCCCTGCGTGCTCTGGGGAGGAGCAGAACCTTCAGATAGTTTGGTGAGATGAACCATCTGTCTGCAAGGATAAGCCAGCCCAAAGGTTCCAGAGGTTCTCCTGGTGTCCTGCTCCAGGTTCCTATCCTTGCCTCTTCTGCATGCTCATCTTGGGCGTTGGGGGGTGTGGGGGCATTCCCAGCAACATGCAGCATAGCAATGTGGACTGGACAGTTACATACTGTCTAAGCTCAGAGTCTGGGGCCTCAGGCATGCATGGCATGCACTCCCGTCCCTTTTGAGAGATCTCCCTAGCCAATCCCTTCCCTTCTGTTGGTGCTGTTATTCTGACTGGTGCTGTTATTCTTCCAGAGACCACACGTTCTGCTGCCCAGTGGCTCCAGTTGAGGTGGACTGCCCTTTGTCCACCCCTTGTTCAGGAACTTAGGAACCTGCTTCTTACACAATAGCCGGGGTTTTCCTTCCTGAAGGGAAGGATGCCAAGGTTGGGGACCTGGGGGTGGAGAGGGCAGGAATTTCCAGCAGCTGGCCACTACTTGGGGAAGGGATGCACCTGCCACATCAGGGTGCCGGACCCGTGCACACAGGGAGAAGGGCTGAAGTAGAGGTGAGAAGCCTCCAGATTCAAGCCCTGATCCATCTAGTTGCTAAGATGCTCAGACAGGCTGCAGGATACCTAATCACGATAAGCTGAATGCTTAGCTACCCTGGTGAAGCAGGCCTTGGACTCCGTTTCTCACAGGAAATGAGCACAGAGACGGGAAGTGATTGTCTGAGGGCGAAAACCCATGAGGCAGATACAGCTCTTCTTAAAGCTCACAGTTAGGTTAGGGAGGATCTCTCTCCCTTCCCACCAACCAGCTGGGGGAAGTCTGCCCTAGGTCGGCACAGGAATAGGCTTGCTTTCATGACCTTCAAGACTTGAGGCGTCCTCTCCTTAACCTCATCTGTTGGGCAGAATTTCAGCGCCTCCCCTAGAGGCATTGGCCGGCCCCCAGCAACCTGGCTACTGTACAACCTCCAGAGCCCACATGCCGCCATCAGTTTTAGTGACTGGCCCACCTCTTCCATAACAGGCCACGCCCCTTTCTGAAGCCCTTCCTCCCCTCCCCAGCCCTCTGTCCTCATTGGCTGGCAAGTTCATGCCGGAAGTCACAAGTCATGAGGCCTGGATCTGCACATGCGCAATGCATGTCCCGGGCCTGGTGGCGGGAACCTGGAGGCAGAAGCACGCGCCTCCCTCAGCGCCTGTGCGCTAGAGACCACCTGACTGGGCCCCGGCGTGCCTGACAGGCTCTTGCCGCCCAAAAGTGGGCCCTGAGGACAACCCAGCAGCCTCGTAGTTGAGCACGTTTAGGCATGGAGGGCATCCGGCCAAGGGAAAATAGGACCCTGGTTTCACAGAGGCGCCCGGCACAGGCCCTTGAGGCTGACTAGTTCAACGGAATGATCGCGAGTGGACAGTGCGGGCAGAGGACAGCCCTTGCGAAAGCCTTAGGGAACATTACTAAAAGGCTGTAGACCGATGGACAGAGAACCGAAGGTAAGTGGCAGTGCGGCCAGGTGGCCCTCTGGGGCCTGGCATTCACCGCTCAGCTGAGCTGGCACACAGACCCGGGTCCTGCCTTTACTCAGAAGGCAGGGCCCTGAGACCTCCCGCGGGGGCACCCCGAGAGGAAGCTGCCCTGGAGAGCTCCTGGTTTGGCGTGTGAGCCAGACAGGGTGGGGCAGTGTCGATCCCAGCCCCTCGTGGTCAGTGGCTGAAGCAGCCCAGTGGACATGGAGGAAGGGACCCAGGAAAGCTTGAAGAGTGAATTCAGGGCCAGAGGGATAGGGCAGCAGGTAGGGTGTTTGCTTTGCACAGGGCTGACCCAGGTTCCATCCCTGGCACCACATAGGTCCTCTGAGCCCACCAGGAGTGATTCCTGAGCATTGCCAGGTGTGCCTCTCCACCCCCCCCAAAAATAATTCATTCATTCTTTTATTACCAGTTGCACTGTCACTCTCAAGCTGCACTTTAATTGTGTATTGTAACATTCAGCAAAGTCCAGAAAGCAAAGCAAAACAAAACAAACAAAAAACTATAAGTTGTAAAATTACTGTGTGTAAAATAGCATGAAGAAATGCATTCCTGGGGCTGGAGAGATAGTAAGCAGGCAGGGCAGAGCCAGGAGTAATCTTTGAGCTCCTCTGGATGGGGTCCAAAACCAAACAAAACATAAAACTGCATTACTGGGGCTGGAGACTATACAGTTGGTAAGGTGCTGCCTTGCACATGGCCAACACGGGTTCAATTCCCAGCACCCTATAAGGTTCTCTGAGTATCATCAGGGGTGATTTCTGAATACAGAGCTAGAGGTAAGCCCTGAGCACAGCCAGATGCCGCCCTCCACCAAAAAAAAAAAAAAAAAAAGAGAGAGAAAGGGAAAAAATCTTTCCTGAGGGCTTAAGAAGTAGCTCGAAAGTCTCAGATGCTTTGTATGTGGGAGACCAGGTCCCATCAGTCCCCTCCCCACCTCACCCCACCCCTGTCCCAGCACCACCCGGAGCACTACCACCCATGGCTGCAAAGCAACAGAAAACCATTTCTGTGCTGGGTAAATAGCTCAGAGGTGGAGCACATGCTTGGATGCTCTAAGTCTGGAGTTAAATCCACTACACTGCGCAGCCACCCAACATCAGATGCCTCAAAACCACCACATTACCAGGCCTACCCCCCCTGAGCAGAGACTTGCCAGAAATTGTCCTGGAACCCACCACTGCTAGGGAAGTCCCCTTCAAAAAACAGAAAATGTACATGCTGGAGGGACGGATCCCCAGTACTGAACAATCCCTGGACACTACCACGAGTTACCCCTGAGTACTAAACAAATGTGTAAGCACATAAACAAAGCTGCTCTCCCAGTGAGCACCTCAGTTGTTTGCTGGAGCATGGAAATCACATGTGCAATCTCCCAGTCAGGACAACAACAATGGATAGCAGGGAAAGACAAATTACCAGCACCCCAGTCTGTCCCCCTTTTGTTCTGTGCTTTCTCCTCATCACAACCTCCTTTGCCTTAGCTAGGAATGCCAGCCTGGCTTTTCTTTAACTTTCTAGTTTGCAATCACTTGGTGCTGTAGTTCATTTGCTCTCTTCCTAGCCTAGTGATATAAACAGAGTCATGCAACAGTGTTCTTTTTTTGTCCCTGCTAGTATCATTTTTGTGATATTCTTTTTGGTTGTGTCTCTTAGTAGCTACTAATTTTTCCACTATATTTTCTTTATTAAAACCTCTATAATTAATATTTGCATGTTAGTACACTGAGTTCTTTTTTATTTATTATTATTACTTTTTAATTTTTTCATCACTTAATCACTTAATCACTTAACTTCCCGTTAGTCGTCGATTTGCTCGAGCGGGCGCCAGTAACGTCTCCATTTGTCCCTGTCGCGTGCTAGTGTAGCCCAATGGCATCTCTTCGCTCCGGGAACATGGAGGGCCTCAAACCGATCGTTCATGACCTTGACAAAGAAGTCTGACCATCTGGTAGGTGGGCGGCCACGCGGTCTCTTGACATCCCGTGGAATCCAATCAGTAACAGCTCTAGTCCAACGGTCGTCTTTAAATCTCATTACGTGACCAGCCCATCTGATTTTCGACACCTTGGCATATGAGACAGCATCCCTGATCCTTGATCGTCGACGGATGTCAGAACTCCGGATTCGTTCTCTCATTTGAGTGAAACGTGATATTCCAAGCATAGCTCTTTCTATTCTTCTTTGGGAGACCTGAATGGCGTTCTCATCTTGTTTGCGTAGGGCCCAGGTCTCTGAGGCATATGTTAATGCAGGAAGAACAGTGGAATCAAAGAGATGTGCCCGGAGCCGGAGGTTCTTCGTCCTCTTAGCTATTTCTTCGACGTTCTTGAAGGCGTTCCAAGCCGCTCTCTTCCTCCTGCGCAGCTCGGGTGCCAGGTCATTTGTCATGTTGACCTCTCGACCTAGGTACACATAGCTGTTGCATTCGGAGATGGTCGTTCCATTGAGAGCGAATGGGGTGTCAGGAACAAGGCTGTTTCTCATAAACATTGTCTTCGTAAGATTCAGCTGTAGTCCTACCTTTCCACACTCACGGTCAAAGTCGGCCAGCATTTGTGCCGCTTGGCTGATGTTTGGTGTTATTAAAACAATGTCATCAGCAAAGCGGAGGTGGTGTAGTTGCCGACCATCTATCTTCACTCCCATTCCTTCCCATTCCAGTCATCGCATGATGTTCTCGAGGGTGGCACTGAAGAGTTTTGGTGAAATGGTATCACCCTGCCGCACCCCTCTCTTGACATCAACGATCACTTCTTTGTAGAATGGTGAGATCCTGGTAGTGAATCCGCAATACAGCTCACGGAGGATCCTGATGTATTGGGCTTGAATGCCCTGATTGGCTAGGGCTTCAATGACCGCTTCCGTCTCAACAGAATCAAAGGCCTTCTTTAAATTTTTAAAGAATTTTTTCATAATTTTATTTATTTTTTTCTTCTTATATTTATTTATTGAATCACTGTGGGAAAAGTTACAAAGCTTTCAGGTTTAAATTTCGGTCATACAATGATCAAACACCTTTCCCTTCACCAGTACTCATTTTTCACCACCAAGAACCCCAATATACCCCCCTCCCGCCCCTCCCAATGCCTGTGAGGCAGATGATTTCCACTTAACTCT